TAATTTAAGGCCTGATTTCAGAATAGCTCTTCTTTAGATTAGAGGTCTGCTTTCTCTTGCCCACCTCCAAATCTTTCCTTTATTCCAGTGCAACACAAAGTGTGGATGTAGTTTAAAATGCTCTTATGTCAATTATACTCAAAGAATAAGCATTTCAGTCTGCACTAACAGAAGTCTTACAACCTGTATTAGCCTGATCTCTTGTCTAGATGATCACAATTGTCGCTTCTGGTCTTTGATTGCACTGATTTTTATAATTGTTATATTGGGATAAGTTATAGTGCTTTCACTTTTTTTTTTTTTTGCTTTCTATGTTGACAGGGCAGAAGTGACTTAGGGGAACCAGTTCTATAAAAAGTTAACAATCCTCTGGCTTGTGTACCTAAACAAGGAGGACATACAAAAAAACTAGAACTCTGGGTTCTGAAATGATACCTTTTTATTAGACCAACTGGAAAATGGCAAGAAAACTGTCCTTTTCTGCAAACTTTTTAGGGTCAAAGATCCTTTGTCAGGCTTCTGGGAAAAGTGTATATGGTAAAAAGTCCCCATAGGTAGGAAATAAACTTCATTTTTGCACAGAGGGAGCTGAAGATGGAAGGCTGTCCCTCTGGGTCCATGAGAGTCTTTGAGCTGTGTTGAATAGCTCTTTGTGTTGATCAGGTAGAATTCCTTCCTTGAAGGTGTCAGATGGCAGGCAGGGAGGCAAAACTTCCTTGTTGTTCTGCAATGAGGCTTAAAATCCAAAATCAAGGAGGATGCAGCCAACACTTCCTGTACTAAACACCTCATTTATTTTCTTGTAAGGACAAAGAACTTTGAATCTAGCAAGGCATACAAAACAACCTGGGGTGAAAGTTCAGAGAATGCAACAAATAATGTGGTAGCCAGGCAACCAAGAAGTGTAAATCAGAATCAACCACAGACAGCTGGAGGAGCAAGCGGGGGATATGTTACACGGTATGTCTATCTCTACATGCCCAAATGAACTCAAGTAGTGACTAGATATGTAACCTTCTAGTGCAGGGGTCAGCAACATTTTTTGGCCAGAGTGCCAAACGCTCCAGCCTCCACACATGCCTTGACTTGGCATGCTGGAGGCAGACGGCAGGGGAGCCACGAGGGGCCCAATCCTTTGTTGCTGGCAATGGGTGCACGCATGCCTCTGGGCAGATGGTGGGCAAAGGGCCAGTGTTGCGCTGCCCCAGCCCATCCCTGACATGCACCACAAGACTTGCATGCACCTGCTGCTGCCCTGGAGCAATGCAAGGGCTCCAGACCTTGCTGTGACTGGTTTGCAACCTGCCTGCTACAGGTGCCCAGAGAGCAGGCCAGCTGTGGCAGGCAGCTGGGAGGCTGGAAACAACTGCATCAGGCTCTGGAGCCCCAGCCAGGCTCTATGATCGTGTGTATGCAGCTGTGTTGCCACCATAGAGCCTGGTTGGGGCGCCGGAGCTTAGTGCAGCTGTCTGCAGCCTCCAAGCCAAGTAGCCTAGGTCCCAGCCATGGAGCCCAGGCTGCTTGCAGTAGGACTTGAAGCCTCTCTGCTACATGCTGCAAGTAGCCTGGGCTCCGTGGCTGGTGGCAGCTGCCCAGAGCCTGGGCTGGCTGTGGCATACTGAACAAAATGGTCTTGCCTGCCGTGCTCCTGCATGTGTGCCAGGCTGCTGACCCCTGTTCTAGTGCTGATCAGAAAGGGGTTGCTTTTGCTTGATGACTTGCATATAGTTTCACTTTTCATAGCATTTGAAATAAAGAGAATACCATTTACCATTCTGATCCTTTCCATCCAGAAACACAAGAAGCACAGAGCTCTAATTTTTCTAAATGCATAGCTACTATTGTAGTGCTTAGTCTGAGGGTTGTCCTTTGAATTTTGAGTCTTTTAATGAAACTGTGTCCACTTTAGCAACATGAAATTAAGAATGAGGTTGAAAGCTTGATTATATGGTAATAGATAATTGCAGACCCCTTGACTTGGAAATAAAGGTTGTAATCACTCGTGTATTTTTAGTGGGCAATCCCAAAATAATCTCAGGTGGGGAAGCAATTCCTTGATTCCTGAACACAGTTTTTCTCTCCTGATAATCAACAGGATAACGAATGATGCCAGAGAGGATGAGATGGAAGAAAATCTGACTCAGGTGGGAACTATCCTAGGGAATCTAAAACACATGGCTTTGGATATGGGCAATGAGATTGATGCACAAAACAAGCAGATAGACCGGATAAATGAGAAGGTAAGAGCCAAGGAGTCCTGTCCCTGCCACCTTCACCTTTTGACCTAGCTGGGAAGATAAATAATAAGGAACTGTTTAAGTAAATGGAATTACCTTTGTGATTTATGATGCATTTTACCACTGCAAGCATCTTGATGGTAGCACACTAAACTCTTACTACCAATCTCTGAAACATTCTATAACTTGTAACAATGCACTTCCAAACTGTGCTGTCAACATTGGGAATCAATGTTCTAACTGAATCAAAGTGAAGTACTTCTGAGAGTCAAACATCAATCGTACTGTAGAAATGGATGCTTAGAGAGCTGTTCATCCACACCAAGTTGGGAGGAAACTTGCTGCAGTGGGGTTTTTTCTTGCAGCAGCATGAGACTCCTCATACAATTCCTTTGCAATGCACAAAACTTGCCCATAGTTCTCTAACACAAAATATTACTCTTCTGAACGTATTGTTGTTTTAACATCGTTTTCTCTAAATGGCAAAGAGAAAGTAAATGGGGACTTCTTATTTACTATTTCTACTAAGATGAGAATGAGGGGTCATAAGAAGAAACTAGTAGGTAATACATTTAAAACTAACAGAAGGAAGTCCTTTTCTTCATGCAGCATGTAATTCAAACGTGAATCTCCTTGCCACCAGACATTGTGGAAGCTGGCAGTGTAGCCAGATTCAAAAGGACTGAACGAATTCTTGGAGGAAAGGAGTATCAGTTGCTGTTGAGCATGGGAGTGAAGGGCACAACCTCAGAACTGGAACTTCCTAGACCCTAAATGCTGGTAGATGCACTGGAGGGCAGGGCTAGGATTCGGAGACCTTAACAAATTGGAGGAGTGGACCAAAAGAAGTCTCACAAAGTTCAGCAAGGAGAAGTGCAATGCCCTGCACTAGGATGGAACAATCCCATGCACCAGTGCAGGCTGGGGGCTGACTGGCTGGGCAG